TGGGCGTGCCGACGCGGGGGTTGTACCGGCATGTGCTTGCGTGCTTCCCTCAAAAGTAAACGCTTGTTGGGAAAAAGGGCCCACGGGGACGAGTGTGCCTGGGCTGTAACGGTTATGAAACTTGTGGAGAGCCTGGCAGTTCCGCCAAGGTAATCTCTACCGAAAGTTACCGTCAATGCCGTTATAGCTGCTCTGAGACAGCAGTGTTACACTGTTCTGTTTTGGTCTTGGGAAGGTAACTTTGTCATTGCTTTTCTTTCTGGTATTTGCATGTCTTTCTGGTATTTACGACTTAAAAGACTGGAAAGAATGTGTTACTTTTGCAACTCAATCTTGAATTCTGATGCATGGTTCTGTTACTGGTGAATTATATCCATAAACTGCTTATGTGATCACTGGCTGTGATGCTAAGAGTACCTGGACTGCTTAGAGATGAAGGAGGTAATGCATGTAATGATACAAGATCAAACAGCAGTCAGTTCTGTGTAATAGACCTACACTTTTCTATCACAGAATCCATTCTGTAGGCACGAACAAAGTAATGCTGTATATATTATATTCTTAAAGCATGTGTAGTTTACTTTCCAATTGGTGTCATCATTTGGCTGCTTCTTTGCATATCATATAATGAAAAAGTAAGAAACCTGTTCCACTGTAATATGTTACTTCTCCTTGAGGTGAAAATTCTTACATCTTCTGTCATGTAATTTTTCTAAAATTAAACTTAACGTGGAGGGGAACAAAGTAACTTTTAAAAATAAATGAAGTAAGTAGTAATTGTGAAACTTAAGTGTATATAGTACTTTTATTTAGTGTCTTCTCCTGAAAGGAGATAAAACTAGCCCACAATCACAACTCTTTTAAGCAATTTGTGGAAATATATACTAGGTGGTTTGGATTTTTAAACCAAGAGTTTAAAAGGTAACTAGTATTTCATGTTGTATTTTTTTTTTCCCTAATGCAGGTAAAAGGATACATGTTCACTTCAAGTAGAAAGGAGCATGTTCCCAAATTCCTTTAGCTTGTGTCATCCACCCTTCCCTCCAACACAACGAAGTAATGTCTTTGATAAGCTTCCTCTAACTACACCAGATACTCTTCCCTCTCACCAGCAAATTATTGATGCTCAGTTTAACTTCCAGAATGCAGCGTAAGTACTGTAAGATTTGACACTGGGGATTGGGTTGAAAAAGAGAGTTAGCAGTCTTTTGAAAGAAGTATTTCTGTTTACAGAAGATGTTTTTCACTGTTTTTAACATTAAACTGTATTAACCTTTAAAAAATAGGAAGGTGTCATGTAAAACAGCTGTGTCGTTTCTGCTGGTGACCTGCAAGTGCTAATGTTCTCCTGCATTGTGCATAATGCATGAGATGACATTGCACTGATTAGAGTTAATAATCCACAGTTCAGTTTTAAAGATCTTCGATTGTATTTGTTTACTGGGGAAAACAGGGAGGAGGTGAGAAGGGGAAGAAACATTTATTCTTTGGGATAGATTTGAAGGCACCATAGTCTTCTTTAGGCTCTTAAATTTAACAGTACTTTAAGTTAATTTGTTTGCTAACATCTTCTTACGTGTGTGCTGTGAGGAATTACAATATTCTGTCTTTTAATGAAAAATAGGTACTGAAATGTCTCTTAATTTTTGGGTAGAAAAGACAGATGTATTGCTTCTAAGAAAAAAAAACAACAGGACTTGCTGAGTTTAGTATTCACTTAAGAAAAATTACGAATCCCTAAAAAGCATCTTAGTTGTCATATGAGTAACAGTTATGGACTTTAGTCTTTCCAGGCCTCTTTTGAGTGGGAACCTTGCAACTACTTCAGCTGTTACCCCACAGCCAGTGACTTACGGAAATGGCTGTCCAGTACATACATCTGATGCCCTCACATCATTCAGAGGAAGAAAGTAGGTTCTTTGTGTGTGTGTGATGAATTCTGGTTGCAATGTACCCATTATGAACACTGTCTAATATCAACTTCTTTTGCAACCTGAATTTTGTTAGAAATTGCGAGAATACTGAGTAATTATTTTTTTTTCATCAAACAGGCCATTTCAAGGCTCTTGAAAGCCTTCATGTACCTGCTTTTGAGAATGTTAGTACTTATAAGTGACTTAGTATGTGCAGTTTTTCTCTTCTAACAGCTGTGGCTTTACAGTACTGTGACTTACATGTTTGATTTTAATACTATAATAGATCATAGTCTGTGTGTCAATAAATTGCATGTTCTCTTCTGTTAATTTGTCCAGTTAAGAGTAAGACTGCGCCCTCGATGTTTTATGGGAATTGTGATGTTTTTCTGAGGACAAATTAGATGCTTCTCCTAATTTTCTTAATTATGTGATACTTTATTTTTCAAATACAAAGTGCTGAATTCAAGCACATGTAAGCTTCTTTTTTTTTTTAAAGAGGAATTTTATGGAAACAGTTTTACTACTTTTCAAAAAACTAAACTTATTTGAATTTAACTAGCTTCATTTGTTACTTTAGTAGCAACAGAAAGAGGAATTTCAGAGGAATGTATGGTTTTATTTTCTCTTAACATTCTAGAGAAAAATAACATATCAGTTCAGAAGTAGTAGTTGATATGTGTTTGTAATAATTCTGTGAATCAGGTGATAGGGAGGAACCTTAATGTAATCTTTCTTCAAAACTATTTCCTGCATGCTTTTTCTTTTCCAGATTTAACAGATGAGAAAATAAGTACAATTAAATACATGGTATTAAGCTGTAGTTGAGTATATTACTGTTGCATGAACTGAAGAAGTTCCTGGTTTCATGCTGTATGCTTGTTTTCCTCTTAACCAGTCTGGTTTATGGAAAGCTATGCTCTCTTAGGAGATTCACAGTCAACTAGTTAATCCTTAGCTCGAGTCTATTCTTCTTAAGGTATTTTTGCTGAGCATGAGTTCATGCAAGTTCTTTTCAATGAAAATAGGCTGAAACAGCATTATCTTTTGATTTAGCATTATGAGTTCCTTTAAGATTGTGGGTAAGTAATGTTATCAGAACTTCTCTCAGACATTAAAACTGAAATGACGACTTGAGGTCTCTTCAGTTAAATTTTTATTATTAATAGTACTATCTGTCCATGTCCCCAAAAAATATTAACTGAACTTGCCATTTAGGTTTGAATTGGTTAATGTAGACACTCTTGTAAAGCAGTTGCATCAGTTCACTTCAAGGGTAGCTGCACTTTTGCAGTTGTGTCTTCTTTTTTCCCATTCCAGGTTTATTTCACCTAGTACTTAGGATATGCACACCTTTTGTTCTGTAGAGTACTTGCTTTTAGTGAAACAGTCACATAAGAAAGCATTGCTATTTGTACTTTGTAGCAGCTCTCTTGTAATCATAGGTTGGAGCTTGCAGGCTAGAGGTATTATTGTCTCTATCTCTTTTTTTGTCTTTAGGAGACAAAGCGAACAGAGTGTTCCACATGATGTCAAACGGCAGCGGTTTCATTCACCTCATTCTCAAACAACTGTAGTTAACCAGGCAGTGCCTTTACTGGAAGAACGTAGATACTCCTTCCCAGGATCAGTTCAGTCTCCACCGTTCCATGCGCTTTACATGCCCTGTTTAACTGGTTGTGTTCCTCAGTTGCAAGATACTTTATTTCCAGACCCTATAAAAACAACGCTCCCTGTGGCCAAAGATAAGGTGATGTCTTTCTATGCCTGTGCTTTACATCTGCTTTCTGAGTAGGCAGAGTCCAATGGTGCTGTGGGAGACCACAAAAATTTGTGCAAGGTTCTTTGGTGCTGTCGTGGGGTCTCTATGGCTGAGCTGTCATTAGAAGGAATATCAATAAATGCAGCTGCTACTATGGTCCTATATAGCCTCCTTGTGTGTGTTTGGGTTTGGAGCCTTTTTAGTGGTTAGGGTATTGTTTGCTTTTGTTGTTTGGTTTCCATACTAATGTCAGGAAACCTACATGTCTGCTTCAGGAAGCAGAAATTGGACGTATGGTCCATTTTTCACATGACTGGGCACCGGGGAGAATGCTGGTGGAAAAAAAAACCAGCACCCTAGTAATGCAAGAGAAGCTCATTCTGAATAAATACAGTATTGGGCCTGTAGAGATGTCTTTTGCCTCTCTTCAGAAGGAGATAAAAGTTACTGTACTAGCTGATCTGGAATAGAGAAGAGGATGTCTTCTTCAGGAGAACAGTGGAGTTGGAACTATGTTCTTTGTTCTTTTTTAAATAAAAAAGCATGTGGCTAATTAGTCTTCAGCTGCACCAGCATGACAGAAGATTTCTTTTTAGTATAAATATGCTTTTTGATTATAGCATATAACAGTGTTGTGAAAGATAAACTGTTAATACCTCCTTCCACCACAGATCTGACTACTTCTTTAATAGTTTGTGTGGGATAAAAAAAAAAGCTAACTTACCTAAGTTTTAATATTTATTTTTCTCCCTACTACTGGTAGGCAAACTGTTTATGTTAAAGTCAGGAGGACATATCTCTGGTCTTTCACTGCTTGTTCCCTGAAAGGCTGCAGATATCGATGAGGCAAAAATTATTTCCTGTTGATAAACATTTTATAACAGATTGAACAAATTTACATAAATAGCTTTGCAGAAGTTTCTTCTGGGGAGTTGTGCAGCATGACTTCAAGTGCGGTAAAACTCAAGACAATGAAATGATACTGGGTTATTTTTTTTACTGAACACATCTGTATTTTATGTAATTGCATCTCTGACAGCAAAGAATGTTCACTTCTCTGTATCTCTCCTTTTTGAACGTGTGTGTCAAGTTAAGTCAGCAGGTTTTGGACTTCTTTCAAGCATGTCAGCAACAGACCTGTGATTTGAACAGAAAAGAGCTCTGTAGAATACAACTCCAGAGAGAAATTCAGCGAATTTTTCCACGTATGTTTTGAATTTGATTACTTCAGTTTGAATTTTCTTCGGGTTTGCAGTTCTTCCTTCTTAAACTATAATATGTCACATTTTTTTTCTGTGATTCTTCTGTTACAGAGAGTAGACTCTTTTTGGTTGGCTCCACACTGAATGGGTTTGGCACTCGTAGCAGTGATGGTGACTTGTGCCTGGTGCTTAAGGAAGAACCAGTAAGTAATTTAAAACATGCATCGTTAAAAAAAAAGTCGGTTTTTAAAATGTGTATGTTTTTATAAGGCTGAATTCTGAAATGAGAAACAAATGGTCAAATCCAAGTGTATTTTTGCACTTATAATAGCTCTGAACTGTGGGCCCAATAATGTTGCAAATACGAATTTAACCCTATAAACTTTTTAACCCAACAAAACATTCAGAAAATAAGCATTGCAATCACTGCATAAGTGACAAAAGCACAGCAAAACAGAGAAGTCAATTGCCTAGAATCATTAAGAAAATTGTTTAGAGAACTCTTAACTTATTTTAGATGCAGGAACCACTTTTAATAAGTACAGTTTTTTAATTTCATTATTTAGATTCGTAGCCACTAATTTTAGTGAGGAGGCATAAGAAGGTATTTGATATGCAAAATATCTTAAGTATTTTTAGTGAGAGTAAATGTTTATGAGTAGAATTCAGGTTGACAGAAAAGATGTAACCAAAAAGAAGTCTAAACAGAGCATGATTTCGAAAGAATTGAAAAGGAAGGAAAGGACATTTTTGTATAAGCGGGGTTAGGTTTTCCTCAAGTTCTGTGATCTGTTAATATCTGATATTTACTTTGCATATTGAATATGAGTTGTTCTGTCTGACTTTTGCTGCACTAAATGTATATGTGGGCTGTGGAATGTGTTGGTATACATATTCATTTCTTATTCTGAGAATTAGTAATTTTTATTTGAAAAGTAAAGCATGCTTACTTGGAACATGTAAATAAGAGATACCAACTTTTTTGTTTAATTTTAATATCATATTTCAGGTAAATCAGAAGACTGAAGCAAGGCATGTACTCAGCTTAATCCAAAAACTCTTCAGTACTAAACTTTGTAAGTTCCCAGCTGCAGGGAGGTGGTAAGATGATGGGCAATTCTGTAAGAAGTACTGATGCACAATTGTAACAAATTTATGTAATTGCATCTTGTCTAGCTTCTCATCACAGTAGTGTTTGGAGAAAAAACTATAAATATTTAGTAATGTTACTTATCTTGGTGCTGATGGATAGCAACTGAAAAACCATAATGGTTGCCTTGCCAGTTAGTGGAGTTCAAGAATGGGTAGCATCTAAAATGACTTTTGAGTTGGGGACCACAGTTTGGGGGGACAGGAAGAAGTAGATTTCTGTTTGGGAAACCTGTTAGTGAACTCTAAATCTTTGATTGCAGTGCCTTCCTGGGGACAATCGCTAAGAATTTATAAAATAAGATGTCATTTACAGTGGACTGTGTAGAATTGATTAGGGGGGAGGGGCTTCATACTGGTGAAATAATTAACTTAGGTGCCTAGTGAAGAAAATACTAAAAGCTGACAATGACAGCACATATAGGAGAAATAGGTCAATTCATAGTTCTTATAAGTAAGTTATTGTTTAAACTCCCTTCAGATGAAGAATTCATGTGGGCAGTTCTTGACTTAAATGTGAAATCCTCCTACGTCAAAGATGCCCTTGTACCATCCTTTGAATTATAAAAGACTCTGTCATTTATTGATATCAATGGCTGTGTCCCCCTGCTCCTCAGACTTCTGATATATTCTTTGATGCCACTCCGTATTGTTCAGAGCAATCCTGCAGTGGTAAAAGGAACAAACCATTAATTTAAATGCAGACTTCAAAATTTCTTCATTGGCAACTGTACATAGGCAGGTTTAACAGCTCAGTTGAACAGAGACTTGATAGATCCATTGCATAATAGGCATCTGATATTTAAGGGCTTATCACTATCGTATATTGATGTTTGTGTAAAAAGTCCAGAACTTAGTCTGGCTTTGCCTAGGATGCAAGTTGTTCCAGTGCTTTCTGAGAAGCACAGTGATAAAATAGTTGTGTTTTCAGGGATCAGAAACGCAGCATCTAAATAAACTATCACCCTCTTCTTTTTTCAGTAGGTTGTGTTCTGTGATAGAGCTTTAGACAAAATCAAGTATGTTTGCCAGGGAATATGAGCATCAGAAAGACGTGATGGTCATGTGGGAGTGATCCCTGAAGGTTTTTGTTTGTGCCATTGCTCATTTTTAATGCTTTCCTAATTCTCTGTTATCTTGGAAGTGTCTTTGGTGAACTGAATTTAATCAAAATGTTCTTTGGAAGGTGAGGCAGGCCAAAACACTGCTGTCATTCCCTCTCCTGTCAGACTCTTTTAGTTGTGGTATGTAGACCTCTTAGATCATCTCTTCATAATTTTAACATTGTTATGGGCATGAATTCCTATACCTAGACATTTGTCCTTGTGTCTTTTTATGAATGTTCTGTGGATAGAACTGATAGACAAAAGTTGTTTGAAAATGTTCACCTGATTCAAAATGAAAAAGCTTTGTTGTGTGGGTCTTTCCATTTGGATTTAGTTCATTTACAAACTCCAGGTCAACAATGCTAAGGTTCAGTACTTCTGAAACAAGGATATTGCCTACTTATTTTGATTAAAGCTAATTTAGGCAAACATAATTACTGTCATCCATAATTTCAAAAGAGCCTGTGGGTTGGAGGCAGGGAGGGAGTTCCCCCAGGCTAGACTTCAGAAGCTGATGGATTCATATGCTTTTTCTTTGCCTCTGGGGACATGGTCTTAGCAGTGTGTGCTTCAGTGGTGTCCTGTTGGCACTCCTCTGGGTTTCTGGAGTCAGGTTTATGTGCTTAGAAATGGTTGTTCGTTGTCAGCTCCAGATTGGCTGTGAAGTTCTTTTTTAGTAGAACTGCAGTTTTTGGGTTGATTTCCTACCTTCTACTGTCCTTAGAATTCAGCTGCTGCCTAATCATCACGGATGGGATCTACAGGTAAATAAATTTGAAGAAGTCGTCTACAGAAATTGTAATTCTTTTGAGATGTTATTTCAACTTGAACCAGAATTCAAGATTTGAAACTTTTAAAGTATTAGCAGTGCACTATATATACACTATATAATATACTGTTGCTGTGTACAAGCAAGTGTAAGATTAGTCTGTACCAAGCTTCTTGAAGAATTGCAATTTCATTTTCTGTATTTTAATGTGTATGCTTTTTAACAACCTAAAAGGTATGAAACTTCTTCTGATCATTATTTTTAAGTTTTGTGCTGTCCAGTTAATATGTATGATGCTACCTGTAGTCTTAAGGTAATCCCTCTTGACTACACTATTTAAATATTTTTTCTTTATTTCTTCTGTAGAAGAAAAACTGCAGCACGTTCTCAGCAAATATGTGAGCTGTCATTAAACTTATTACTTGCTTCACACAAGAGAATGGAAATAAACATAGTTTGACCCAACATGAAAGCTAAGTACGTCCCAAGATGTAGGAAGAACAAGAAGGGGAAGGAAAGATAAGACATTATTTAAAAAAAAGTTTTGGGCTGGTTTTGTGAAAGAACTGAAGGATGAAAAGAAATGAGGGTGGCGTAGGTAATGTTCTAGAGCTTTTGTAACCTTTTTCCAGATCATTTCAGGTCAGAAACTTTGGAGAAGTTTTTTCTAGCTGTGCTTCTCCTGACGTCTTTCTCTTTGTTCTCACACTCTGTAATGTTCCTGTACATTCCAAAATAAGGGCTATAAGAAGAGTGTGATTCTCTGCGTACTCACCCTAGTTCCATGATTGATTGATAAATTAGGAAGCTTTCCAAGTGCGGTTATATCAGTTTCTTTCACAATTTGTCTTTCTTTTAGGAAATCATCTTCAGAACTTGAAGTGCAATCTCTTTTATCCTTTATATACAGTTAACTGTGATTGTGGTTCCTTCTAGGAGGCTTGGGAAGTGGATTCAAAGTTTATCTAAGCTCCAGTTTCTTTCAGTTTCAGTTTTGCGAAAGGTAACAAGCGTGAGCAAGGAATTTGAACCCATCAGATTAAAAGTCTTAGAGCAGAGGCTTTTCTGTTTGTCATCCTGCATCTAGAATACTGGCTGAAATGAAGATGAGTTCTTTTTTTGAATAGTCTAGTCACAGAGTAAAGTAGGAGAAATTTATGATATTTATTCACTGTTTTCGTGGGCCTTGTTAGTCTTAAAGTTAGGTATTGTGTCTCTCCTAGAGTAGAGAGGTGAGAGGATAGCAGTAGCATATCTTCTGTTTTAAAGACTAGCAGAGTACGTGTACCTTTTTAACGTATTTGTTCAGATACCTGCACACATTTATTTTTTACAATATTAGCTAATATTCCCAGAACTGTACGCTCAAGCCAATGTCTTTTAGAGATGTGAAATGTGAAACACGAATTTGGATTGATAACTGTTAGAACATACTGAAAAGAGTATAATCCAAACCAAGGAGAGTAAAAGTCAAACTGATCACTCTCTTTGGTTTGTCTAGGAAGGATTCATTTGAGAGACAGCTTAGCAGTACTGGGTTGACTGGTGTTTACTATCTGAATAAATAACAAAGAGCTCGTTTTCCCTGGGTTATACAAAGAGATGCAGTAGTGTTGAGAGTAGCACATCACCTAACAGTTGTCTAGTGGGGAATGTGCAACAGCTAGGATAAGCAAGGGAACCTGAACTCAAGTGAATGATCTTGAAGCACTGTGCCGGTGGGTGAATGAATTCCAAACATCAGCAATTAATTTGGCTGGTGCTGGGCTGTACCTTCCTAGATTCTTAATGACTCTGGTTTCTGACTTCTGTGTCACCGACTTTCTCTTTCTATAGTATAGCCCTATCAATGAGAGCAGGCTACGTGTGCAGGATACTAAAGATCTTTTTGGCATATACCACATTTAGGATTAATATTTTGTACGATTGCTTAATCTTTTATTCTGTAAAAGGAAAGAGAGACTTAATCTGTTTAATCTGAAATTCTGCATTAATAAGTTATTTATGAAACCGTGCCTAGTCGTCTTTGAAGTGGTTATGTTCTTTTTAACTACAGCTGGAGTGGCATTTGTGATTTTTTTTTTCATAGACATGCCCAAAACTGTGGAGTAGCTATGTGGAATTCTTTATCTGTTTTTTTTGTGTAGCCCCTTTGGTCATAGCTTCAAGGTCAGATAGTCAATTTACTAAGGCACTTACTCAGCCTGTATGTATTTCAGAACTCCACATTCTATGTTGTTGACTGTTACTTCCCTTGTATGTATGACGATCTAAGGTCCAGCAGAGATTCTGCTAAAAGTGTCACTGGTGTGAGTCAAGAAGGAGGGTACCAGCAGCAGGTCACTGCCTTCTAACATCCGGTTTGCTTTGTTTCACCTTGGGAAACAGATCAGTACTGTAGGTTGAGATTTTTTTTTTTTCTTAGCCAACTGATGTTGCACAAGTGCCCGTTAAGTGTTGGGAGGCGTTTGCAGACAAGGATGTGTTTGGAAGTGGACTGCCACTAGAATGAATTCAGTTAACTTCTGAAGGGCACTTGAGAAAGGTCATAATGAGTTGTAGTTTTACCCTGGCTGACAGCAAAACACCACAACACCGCTATCTCACCCTCCCTCCTCCCAGGGATGGGGGAAAGAATTAAAGGGGTAAAGGGACTTATGGGTTGAGATAAGAACAATTTAATAACTAAACTACAATAAAATTGAAAATAATAATGGTAATAATAAAAGTAATATATACAAATATACAAACGAGTGATATGCAGTGATACTGCTCACCACCCGATGGCCAAGGCTCAGCTTGTTCCCAGCTAACGATCCCGGAGCAGGGAGAGTCCCAAAACCGCCCTCCCAGAACGGAGATAAGAGCCCAGGTATCCAAGAGAGCAAGATAACCCTGAGAGAGGGGTGACCCAGAAGGAGACAACCTGGAGCAAGAGAGAGTACTACTGGACAGAGCCTCATCTATATACTGGGAATGATGTGCATGATATTGAGCAGACTGTTGGCCAACTTGGGTCCCAATCCTAAACCTAAGATCAAATTGTAGCCTAGTAATTGGGGCTGTGCTCCCTCCCAGCTTCTCCTGCACCTGCCCACACTGGCACAGCAGAGAAGATGAAAAATCTTTGACTGTCCTCACAGGAACTCTGAACATCAGTATGTTATCAGCCGCCTTCTCAGCACAAATCCAAAACGTAGCCTCACACTAGCTATTGTGAAGGAAGTTAACTCTCTGACAGCTGAAACCAGGACAGTGAAGAAAGGTGAATTGCTCTGGCATGCAGTTAGATAACTACCGTTGTGTACCATGTGCTAATGTGTTGGCCACCTTTGTCTTATATTTGCTAGTGAAAGGAAAGGAGGCAGAGAGCTCTACACGCTTTATAGCTTCACTTTAAGACTGTTCTGGGATGTCAGAGGAGGAATGTTTGGATGTGTCTATGGGTGCAGCTAGGAAGAGGGGACGCTTGTGTAAGTTGTACTCGATTGTACGTTCAGTGAATGTGGATTGGAGTTCTCTAAGATTCTTCCTTTGAAATTGATAAGTTAATACAATCTCTTTTTTTTTGAGTGCTGGTCTGTGTGTTGCTTAAGATCATAGAATGCATTCAAATCCAGATAAAGAATTACCTCAGGTCAAATATGTCTAAATGTGTGTAACCATAAAACACTTTCAGAAAGTCTCAAAAAAACAAAGTAAAATGTGTTTTGATTGAATGTTGCACAGTAGGGTTTTACCAAATCTGAAGTTTTCATCCAAATGCAATGGAGGTAACACTGTTTAATAAGGGCTGCTATCCCGACTGAGAGAAATAACTTCTTTTTATTTTTTTCCTCAAAAGAGTAAAGATCAGCTTTTATTTAACGTTATTTTTAGTCTGCATTACTTCTAGCTTTGTCATATTTCTTTCTGCTAATTTGAGGTTAATTTATAGAAGCAAGGGGAAATTGAATGATGTTAGATATTGGCAAATTCAAGTGATCATAGATTTTGCAACAGAAGACATTCCTGAAATTGTGCTTTTTGCCCAAATTCATATCCTGTAACCTACTGGCTCTGTGTTTCTTTATCATTTCCGTTATTTTCTTGGGTGTGTTTCTCATTCAGGATTATGGGCAACTACTAAGTATGTCCTGATATATTGCCAAAAATAGGAAAATCACAGATAATGACTGACACAACAGTTTTGGGCAGCCGAGTGCAAAGGTTGACTTGGTGGCACTGTATGAGTCTGGCAGACCTTAGTATGTTTGGGTTTGGATGGTCTGGCATTGAGCCTGTGTGTCTAGACTGGGTATATAACAGTGCTGTGATTGTATACTTACTGCATGTCCTATCATCATTAAAGCAAACGTCAACACTTGCATCTTTGATGGAAAGTGGTGTCCTGTTTTCAGTAACAATTTAATAGGATATGTGTTTGTTGCTATGCACTTTATCAGTCAAATAAACAGTTTTTTAAAGGACGTTTTAGTCAGTGCATAGTGACAATACAGTTATGTTAATATTTTTTGATCAGTAAAATGCAGAATTTCAGCTGTAACCAAACTAGACACAATTAAAAAGTACACAGCTGATCTTGTGTTATTGCTACAACGTAGTGCTGGGCTTAAGTGTCTGGCCATCCTGGATGGGTATGTTCTTGCTCCCTTCTTTCTGAACCTTAATTGTAATTATTCAGGATTTCTATACAAGTACTGTTCAGTGAAAGCACTGTAGAACTGCATTGCTTATGTTCAAACTTCTTGAATATACTTCACATAGAAAAATCTTCCACTGTAATTTTTCTCTAATAGTGCATTTTTTTTTTTCGCATGCTTTCCTAGATCATATTTTTGCTGCAGTTCCTAAAGGTTACTTAGTTTAGCACAAGCCTTCTGAGAATATTTTTGCTAAATTTAATAAGCCACAATTTGCTGTAAATCAGTCAATATGACTCCCCTTCAGGATCTGATTTTAAGATCAGCATCTTACATGAAACTTAGTTGCATATTTTTCTCCCTTTCAGCAAGCTACATTGAGCGACCTCAGCTGATTCGAGCCAAAGTGCCAATAGTGAAGTTCAGGGATAAAGTCAGGCAAGTATTCTGTTCAAAATAATTTTTTAGACTGACCCAGGAAAGTGCTCTGTATGTGTGCTGTCCATGTGAGTAGTCCCACTGGACTCATACTTTGTTTGTTTGTGTTGTCCTCTAGTTACATTGCAAATCTGTACACCTAGCTTGCAGTGGCAGTCAGCTTACTTCCTTGATGGCCTGAAACACCTCTTGTGGTTGAGATGCTGTTTAGTTCCTGTGACGTGAATTAGTAGCAGTACAGCATGTATTTCTATGAGTTATTGGTACGTAGTGGACTTCAGTTGACAAATGGCTCATGACAGAAAAATAACAATGGGAAGAAAACTGTTGTGAAAGATAATTTTGCTTTCTGTGCATACTTAAGTATTGAGCTACTTAAGGACTAATTCACAGTATTTACACTATACGAACACCACAAAAACAAATTTTAGTTTCTTGTGATGATGTTTTCTTGATAAAAAAATTTTTGTTCATTTTAGAAGAGTATATTCTGCTGTGTTCTAGGGAAGTATTCTGTGTTTAACAAAGTAGTATTAAATGTTCTGTTCGCAGAGTACTAATTTTGTGGCCTTTTTTTTAGAAGGGGGAAATAATTGTGTTCATTGTATCTTCATTATGAAGACATGAAAATGAATAAACAAGAGGGATTGTTTATTCTAGGACAGGAAACAATGTATTTCTTATTGTGTGTGATATTTGACAGAGGAAAAAACTGTGCAAAGCACTCAAATTGGTTGGAAGTCTGAGGAATGTTCAAATCTTCCTGTATTTATGGGCTTAGATTTTGTAAGTCTTAAACTATGCTATTACATGAAGGTGATAGACTGACTATTCTTTGTACATAGGACTTTGAGCAACTGTCTTGTATCCAACTATTTTACCCTGCCTATGCGCTTTGAAATTTTGCAGCTCTTGTCTTTAAAAAAAAAAACAAGCCCACTTCTCTGGCCTCTTTTTGTAAAAGCGTATCACAGTGTGCTGTTATCACAATATACCTTTATCAGGGCCAAAACTCTGCTGTGGTAAAACTCAATCTGTTATGTTTACGATTTGAACTAATAAATATTGTCCATTTAAGCTTTTCTTGCATCTGAGATTGCATAACACTTGCTAGGGGTTTTACTTTATACTTATTTTCATTTACACTTAATCCTGTATCTAATCCTAGTACTTACCTTTTAAAAATTTAAATAATTTTTATCTAACTTTCTTCTCTAACAGTACAGAAGGTTGTTTCTTCCATGGTTTCTGAAAGTATAAAACTTCTCAAGCTAAAACTTGGCTTTAGCTACATGTAACAATGCTAGTCTTTTCATAGATACACTAAATGGTACGTTCCTGGTACAAATATTGAATAAATCATAGAGTTATAGCAATAACATTTTTTTCCAATTTAAAATCAGAAAATAAACTTTACAAAGAAACCTTAAGTATGGAAGCGATTATGTTGAAAGATTGAAGACATTTTGTAGGCATTTATAGTCCATACTACAGTCACTTGCACAAAGAAGTAACAGTCGTGATGTTCAATACCTTACAGACAGGATTTAAAGAATTCTTTGTTTCCTGCTAAATGAAAGTATAATCTTCTTAGACTAGAAGCTATGCATTATATTTTTCAGGGGAAAAAACCAGTACTGTTTGCCATCTGGTTTCCTGTGTTGGTTTTTTTTGGAAGATGGGAGCAGAAGGGAACATGACTTTGGGTTGGGGGTTTTTTTAATTATTTTTATTTTTTTCTGTCTTTCTAGTTATCTTTCTGTTATGTAACCTGTCGCCTCCACCCATGTTTTGTTTTTTTATTCAAGCATCTGTCTCGGCCTGTCTTTCGTAGGCTCATACGTACACATACATGCACACTCATTCCTTTTTCTCAGAGGTCTTGAAAAATGGATTGGATATTCTGTACCCAGGGCACTAAGCTTGTTTTAGCCAAAACCAGAAACTAAACATGACAAGCTTCCTGTGAAAGCCAGTTTTCTTGGTACCCAGCTGCTGAGAGAAGGGGGTAGAATTCAATGGGTAGTATCTCTGCATCTGGATTCTAATGTGTTGCCAATGGTCCATCTATATGTGAAAATTGCTGATTCCCACTTACTTTGATTTGGTGAATGAGAAAGCACTTAGTTTGTATGTGTTCTACTTTTTCAAAGACATTATCTGGATTTCTTTTTTTTGTAGTCTTTCCCAGGAAATAATTCCAATGTTGGCTCTGCTACCAGACAAGCCTTTGATTAATTAACAAGATTTCTGTACTACAGAGGATGCAAAAGCTTCCTCTTCAGCTATATTTGATGTTCAGTTGACTCTTTTCCTCTGCTGTAGTGCTTTTCATAGAACTCGATTCCCAACAAAAACCTTTTTCACTTGTCATAATTGCAATATCTATTAAATGTTCATGTTAAAGTACAAAATAACTGCAATAGAACTTGCGTTAATATCATCTGGTAAATAGTAGTATTGTCAATTGGGGTCTATTGGAATATACAAATGGAGCCTGACATATATCTTAATTATATTTGTACACGCAACTAATATTTCACTGGTGGTTTTGCTTATTTTTACAACTGTCAAGCAGTACCTCATGTTTGTTTATTTCCTGTGCTACATCTAAAAAGTCATGCTTGATACTACGTCAGGTTGAAAATTATGCAATATTTTGATGCAAAGAATTTTTAATGTCATTAATGATGTAAAAAACCTTTTGTAGGTATCAGATTAATGTGTTTTAGCCAGTTTAATAAATTCGAGGTCTATGTTCACCTTAGAGTAATTCAAGAAAATCCAAAGTATTATTCAGGCAAACAAATGCTATGTGAATGAGACTTGTATATATAAAATGGAAATAGCAGTACATTGCAGAGAGCTACTTCTTTGTCAGTAATAGGCTCCTCTTGTTGTGAATTAGTGTTGCTATAGCTTATTGACTATGAATTTAATATTGTTTCTTGAGTATTGTGAGTAGTTAAGCTTTATTATACAGTATGAAATTTCACCAACTTTGTCACCAAGTAATAAGTATTCTGAAATTGAATACCATGATGCTTGATTCTTTTTCTTTTCTCCTCCCCAACAGCTGTGTGGAGTTTGACTTGAATGTAAACAATACTGTAGGAATAAGAAATACATTCCTTCTGAGAACCTATGCATACAGTAAGTTCTTAATATATTTGCTTGTTTCTATACGCTTTGCTTTACAAATTTGTATTTTGGTGTTGACAGACTATTAAAATTCATTTGAATATATTGGGTTACTATATATATATATAATTACCTAATTAGCTGCGTTAGATAGCTTAATGTTGATTACATATATTGAGAAAACTGATTTACTAGCTAGGTATGTTTTTAGTTTAATATTATAACATTCAGAAGATAACAAAGATTCTTCATATTAAGGTTCACATATCTACTACAAGGGCTGCTTTGGTACTCTGCAGATGATGAGATCATTATACTAGTGATTATCTAGTGGTATAATCTGCAGTTTCTTTTATTTCCTTATAGACAGTGATAGGTGTGTGTGGCTGGTAGCTAGCTGTGTCTGTTTGCTGTTACAGGCAGAGTCTTTCCTTGGAAAATCCAAAATACCACTTCAGTTTTTCTTCTAAGCCCCGAACAAAACTCTTGTTTCTGTCCTCAGGAGTTTTTGAAAGATTGTGAAACAGACTTCTGAAGGGGAAACAATAAGAACAGCACTCTTAGTGATAAACTACGGTGTTCTTACTTAGCATCACAACGTTGTTTGGCAGATAAATACATAAGGAGTGGACCTCAGGCTAATTCTTCTAGGTCAGTTGTGATTCTTCCTTTACCACCTTCTTCAGTTCTTGCATACAGGAATTCCTTTCTATTTAGGGTAGGAAATTATCAGTAGAAGTTACCTTTAGTAGTTAATTTTTACTAATATTTCAGTCAGAATAGTTTCAGTGTTCCATCTTCACATTACTAGGAGAGTCTACAACTTGTCCTGGATCAGTTGGTTAACTGTGATTTCTTCATATATCCAGGAAAGCATATACCAGGAGAAGGATTTTCTTCCAAGCTTAAAAAGGTTAAGGAGATAATCTTTGTTATTAATGGCTACAGGTGAGGGGTCACTTGACCAAGTCTAATGTTGATATAGTTGTTCCTAGTTTCTGCCACAGATTTTCCTATTCCTCTTAGCAAATCACTGTAGGGCAAGCAAGAGTCCAGGTGTCAAAAAAGCAGTGGAAGGCGTCCTAGTGTCCCACCTTTTCTTCCATTCTGCCTTGGTGCCCACTTTTTATGAGGCCAGCAAAATTAACTTTGTCTTCTGATGAGTTCTTTTCTTGAAGTCAAGGAGTGAGTTAGTGGCTAAGGGAGTTTTGTGATTGGAAAGATTTCTCCTCAATGTGCTAGACCTTCTTAAATAGGCAAACTGTATCAAGCATAGTCTGTCTTGTCTTCTTTGGACCAGAAAACTCTCAGGTGCCATAAGGCAAACAAAACTAAATGGAAACTTTTGTCAGACAGTGTTTTTACATGCTTTCAGGAGTCATATCAACCAGAATGGATTGCATTAAAAGTATTAGCCTGCTTGCTTAAATTTGTGGCTGACGGGCTTCACCCTGATTGGGAGAAAAAAATGATCAAATTATCTCTCGTGTGGAAGCTGTATGTGTCTCTGTTCCATTAGAACAAATCAGATGCTCAGGCAACCAAAGGACCAGTTAACTTAGGAAGCATGATAAAAAAAAAAAAATTAATAAATGTTTCTGTGGTTGGTCTTCTGTCTCTTTTGAAGTCAGCCCTTCTACGTTGATGCACAGGTGCTGTAGAAAACATCAAAGATCATATAGCAAAGTGAAGCAGAATGTCTACAGGAAACGTAGGTAGACTAAGCAGAGCTAGAAACTGAAGTCTACGCTGTTGTGTTATCAGTTGTTTGCCTAAGGAGGCATGTCTGCAATTGATGGTAGGTATTTTTCAATTAGTGGAAGCTGGACCTTTTAGCTTTGAGCAAATGACATTACTGAGCTTTTTCTTGAGGGGGTAGCTTGTTAACTGATCAAAGAGTCTCAGGAAAAGTTTGCTGGCCAAGTTGCATGCTAACTTTGTTACATACTAATTACAGGCACTAGCAGATGGAAAACCTTATCTCAGAATAAGGCCAACTAAAAAGAGATCTTTTCTCCAGTGACACACTCCCACACATAAGTGTCCCATTTGGAATTTGAGCCTATTTGCATTTTTTTTTGTCATGGAAAAATCCTGTTTCAGTTAATGCATGTTCATATGATGCCTGCACAGTAATTCAGCTGCATCTCACAGTTAGTGTACTAATAGTCTTATTTTTTCAGTACAACCACTGGTGAATAGTGTTGGGAATGAGGTGACTGGTAGTAAGGAATTTTGTTGTTTCTAAAACACCTTTCAGACATAGGACATTTATTCTGAGAAAAAGAGTACCACTTACAGGGGCATGTGTGCTGAACCACTGTGAACAACTCCGGAACATCTGAGGCATTGTAGGGCACTTCACTGAGCTGATGATCTGCTTCCACACGTCTGCAAATAATAAATTAAGTATACTGCAAGGTCCCTAGTAGGTGGTGGTGTGTAACGTCTCCTTACAACACATTACTACTTTAATTAGAAGGCTGTCTATATTGTTCACAAGTTCAGAAGATCACCTGGAATATGACTGTATTTATGTCTTTCCTCATGAAAAGCATATGTCTTGATTTAATGAGTTACTGTATCTAATATCTCATATACATAAAAAGCTATGAAGACAAGGCAAATTTAAAATTGATGTTTGTATGCAGGGGTTACTCCTTTCATGGATCCTGAGGAAAACTTAAGAATGAGCTCTGTGTTCCCCAAGTAGCAGAATTTTTTTCCCTGCTCTCAAAGCTTACATAACCTAAATTAAAAAAAAAAAATCTCTCCTGGCAGCAAGTTAATTCAGGGAAAACTACTACAATGAGCTGGAGAGAATTTGAAAGTAAATGTGACACTACTACATTGACTGATGCATCCAGTTTTGTCTTACCTGCAAGTTACCTTGTGTACCCCTTGTAATGTGTCTGTGGATCTTACTACTCAAAAGGCTGTTTTCAAATGCAAATATTTTTTTCCTGATTTTTATAAGGTGGATAGTAGTTGTAGAGTAACTGAGTAAATTCTATGAAATGGTTGCAAAAGGTAATCTTAGAATACAAGAGTATCATGTTGATAAAATAGGAATAAATGTTGATTGATTGCTGTTTAGTTAAATGTGCCTTTTTTGAGAAGTATTTATTTTCCTTCCAGTTGAGAATCGAGTTCGTCCTTTAGTACTTGTTATTAAGAAGTGGGCGAGTTTCCATGAGATAAATGATGCCAGTCGTGGTACTTTAAGCAGCTATAGTCTTGTGTTGATGGTTTTGCACTATTTACAGAGTAAGTATTATTTTAAATGTTGAAACTGTCCCTTTTCAATTCATATTTCTGTAGTTCTCCTCTTTAATAAAATTGAACACCATCAGGAGTAATCTTCACACAGAAAAATTTGAAAACAAAGTGGGTTTGCTCCATTTCCTTAGTGCTGCGTTTTTCTTTAACAAGTGGATCTCTTCTCTGGAGGCAGAGTTACCAGGTTTAAAAGGTTAAAAAAACAAAAAACAAAAAACAAAAAAACCCAAAACAATGTACCTGCAGGACACTGTGTAACTACAAAACAAACTCAAGCACTAGTTAAGAAAAATCTGCTCTTTAGCAATGGGAAAATAAACTCAGGCTCTAGTTAACAGAAATATGCCTTTAAGAAAGGGAAAAACCTGAACATAACAATTTCAGTGAGGTGTGAGCTTTCTCCCCTCCCTCTCTCTCCTCCTCTCCC